CCCACGTAGTTCTAGGGATTCTGCCCAGGGATTTTCAACCCATTTATCAGCATTTAGGGATTACTGCTCAGGGACTCCAACCCATTTTTCAACCACGCGCTGGTAATAAAAAGTTGTTTCTCACCCTCGTCGTCAATCGTATTCTGGTATCAGATGACGTCAATCAGCAGCCTAGGATCAGGTGTCGGAGTACTGGCCTGAGTGAGAATTCACTCCCCAGGTCTTTCCCCAGAACCTGGTTCTGGGCGTGCACGGTTTTCAGTCGTTATCCACCCGATCCTTAGGTTCTGCTTAATTTGTTGGCATCCAGCTCGAAGGACCAAGTTATGTTAGGTTTATTCTAACATATGTGACGACAAAGTAACAACACAAAAGACGTCTGGATCTTTTACTTGCAAGGGGAGAGTACAGCTTGCTCTTCTGGCAGCTTCCTCATCAACTCTGAGTTGCTGCACCCTTCCTCTGCTCTTTTATTTAGTTTACAAAAGTATCAGATTACATATCATGTGTGTAAGTATATGAATGGGTGTGGAGTAAGAAGGTGGGTGTGAATGGGGGTGTGGCTGTGTCTGGTAATTTCTCCATCAGTCTTGAGCACACTAGATTATAATATGAGCAAACAGTTTCTTAAAGCGACAGTACAGCATGAAGCAATGATAATAAATTAAATTCTTCCAACAAATAGCACTGTTTTTTTTGATTGAATTGGTTCTGATTATAGATACACAGTGTAACCATGCCAAAGTGTTAAATATTTGTTCACATTCCATTGATAATATTTACACAATATTGAGTAGAATTTACTCTGAAAATGTTATATTGACCATAGAGTAAAACTTACACTAATTTTGAGTGGGACCAAAAGTTATCTGAAACAGAGTTAATTTCAACTCTTTAAGAGTTAGATTAACACTTGTATTTTTACTGTGTGGCTGCCATAAATGAAAATATTGCTGAAAATCGATTGAGACAAAAAGGAGGTCAAGAGTCAGAGTTGCGAAACGTGAGCCGAGGAAAGAAGGTATCTAGTTACCTTCATTCTCATGTTACCTACTCTCACGCTCAGGCCAGGAAATGAATGCTCCGAATGTTTTGTTTAAGAGTTTTCAAAATGACAAACATTCCCAGTTTAGATTTTGAAGGTTACATTTGCTGTGTGTCTGTTTTAATTAGACCAAAAAAAAAAACATCCAGAGAGAGGACAGTTGGCAGGAAGTATAATTTAAGTACTTTTAAGGGTCCTATTGTTGCTAATGAATGTTAATTCAATAAAATAGCTTAAGTCTATGACTCCACTTAATCTCTGTTGAATCAGTAAAGTTTTATGAGGTTCTATGGTGTATAGTTTGATCTGGTCCCTCCGAAATTCCCTAAAATCTACAAATTTTTGCTTCAAAGACAACTATAATCGTCTAGATTGCTAATGTATTGGTTATCACCTTAAAGTAAATTGTATCAGCTTTCATGTGGTGCCACTGGTAATATGGTTAATTCTAGTGAAGTTATAAGGCAAAATAGAACACCCCTATCCAAAATTCCCAGCGTTTTTTTACCTTTCAAAACTCTATGGCTCATGAGGCAGACATTCCCATGGTTAGAAATCAAAACAGTTGTTATATCTGGTCATTCCACAGCTTGGAGAATGGGAATCACAGCAATTGGCTTTAAAATTCAAAAAAAGTTGTTTTTTGAACAGGTCTATTGGACTGTGACAGGACTCTGACCTCTGTTGCTGATGCTGTTGTGGTCTTCGCAACCAGTGCTTCCATTATTGTCTCTGCCGTTGCCGCTGCTGCTGCTGCCAGCCTGGGTGACTTTAATAAACTGCAATCGAATCAGCTCGATCTTTGAGAGGCTATCCTGCAGCATCTGCTGAGCCGTGGACAACATCTGATCCTGGATAACAACCGTCAACCGGTGTGCATCCAGGGCTTGGACATTGAGCTGGTGGACAGCTTTAAGTACCTGGGTGTGCACCTCAACAATAAACTGGACTGGTCCACACACACCAACGCCCTCTACAGGAAGGGCCAAAGTCGCCTCCACCTCCTGAGGAGACTGGGGTCCTTCGGAGTGTCCAGACCCCTCCTCCGGACTTTTTATGACTCTGTGGTGGCCTCTGCCATCCTCTTTGCCGTCGTCTGCTGGGGAACAGGCAGCACTGACCGGGACAGAAAAAAACTGAACAAGCTGGTCAAGAGGGCTAGCTCTGTCCTGGGCTGCCCGTTGGACGCGGTGGAGGAGGTCGCAAGGAGCAGGACACTCACAAAACTGTCCTCCATCACAAACAACCCCACCCAACCGCTGCACCAGACTGTGGAGGACCTGCGTAGCTCCTTCAGCGGCAGGCTCCGGCATCCACAATGCAGGAAGGAGCGCTACCGCAGGTCCTTCCTCCCATCAGCCATAAGACTGTTTAACTCTTTACACTGATTACCTGCACCCTTCACTGCCACTTTATTGTTTAATATGTATATTTTCTTGTTCATTATGTATATTTTTCTAAAGTTTTACTTTAATTTTAGAGTGCTTTTTGCTTTTTAGTTCTTTTTACTCTATTTATTGTGTTAACTCCTCTTCTCTCTTTTTCTGCACTGCCACTGGCTACTGTACTAGTATGTTTCCCCCAAGGGGGATGAATAAAGCCCTACTCTACTCTACTCTACTCTACTCATAAGGACATCACAGGAAGAGACAAGGAACTATACGTTCACACTCATGTTTACCGTGAGAAGTGCTGGGGATCACCAGTGACATCCTTGTCCCATCTGCAGAGAGAGGAGGAAACAATGACTCTGCACTTCACTTACCTTATAGTTAAGCTGTGGCTCCGTGCTGAATAAGGACCACTCTGTCATCCTCTGTGGAGGTGGTGGTTGTGAATGGAGGGGGTTGGGCTTCTCAGGTTCCTCCTCTCCTCCTTCACTATCCTTGAAAACCCAAGTCATCCGGGGTTCACTGAGACGTCCACACGCATTGGGACTGAGTGCACTTCCTCCTCTGCAACATCCCCTTTGCATCTTCATCACTCTCCTCCTGCTATCTAAACAATCCCCTCCTTCTTCTCCTCCCCTCTCTTACGGGGTTTCTCTGTTGGGGGTCAACAGTCCAGCAAAAAATACTCGATTTCAGAACTGAGGTTTTTTTTAACTGTATTTAATTAATTTTTGATCAGCGCTTGAGTAGATGTGTGGGTAAAATAAGCAGATATTTCATATACCAGTGCAACAGAGATTTAAGATAATTGATATAGGATTTTATTAACTTTGTAAAAAAATATGGACTTTCAATAACTTAAGAAAAAGGCTTGCCAGTGTTAGGAACACTGGCGCCTTGTTTTGTGTTATACCTGGTTAACAACAAATAAAAAATCAAAACATCAAAAAGCTGAACAGTCGCTGTTAGATAGTGCTAGTGTAACCGGTGTAGCCTCTGCGTTGATAATGAAAGCCGTCGTGCTGCTGTCACGAACGTCTTTTATTCATCTGACGGAATTCACATAGAACAAAATTAATTTTCCTCCTGGACACTGCCCGAGCCCCTACAAAGTACACATAAAATAAGTACACATAAAATAAATATATTGTGATTTTAATATAAAATACTAAAATCAAGGAGAAACAAAAAACACTAACCTCTCCCACAAAGTCTGAAGAAGGAGGGAGAGGTTAGATGTGACTGACTTATACCTACATAACTATTAACCTCTGTTACACTAGTTGATAGTTGTTTTGAACTCAGGGTGTATTGATTTACAGCATACAATATCTTGGTCCTACTAACCACTTTGGTTAATAAGAGACAGTCAACGGACTAATGTAAAAACACGGCCACCGAAAAGCCTCACTCTTGACATAATGAAATGTTAACAACAGTAAAAATTATTCATTCATTGTAGTTGGACTGAAGTGACCATTTAATTTTTTTTATTTATTTATTTTTTGTTGTTGTTTGTTTCTTTTCACTAAAATATTGCTATGATAGATCTGAAGGACGTCCGATTATGTTAAGATATTGTAAATACATTTATTCAATCTTTACAATATATTCATTGTATTAAGTTTCCATATCAATTTATACTGTTTGTTTTTGAATTGTGTACTAAAAGGAGAAGTACTGAAGAAAGGTGTGCATGCTGATGGTTTACATAACAGGATGATGTATGGTACGGATGGCACTGACTGTTACGCTTGGAGATAGAGAAAGGTCACAGAACCGGCCTGAACCAGTTTCTCTGCCCAAATAATGAGGAAAACAGAACATCAAAAAGGAAAAGTGTATTTCTTTGATCTAACCTGAGTTACTGAGCAGAATAGCTCAGCACATGTACATGTTTTCTATTGGTGGAGAATCTTTGTTTGGAGCAGCCTTTGCCAATCAGTGCTCAGAAGTGGTGCGTGAACACCACATGGCTGTAAAGGGTTAAGGTTCTGACCATTGATGTGTGTGTAAAAAACTGTATTTAAGCTTTGAGCACTGAGGAGTTCCACGTGAAGTTCTGAACGTAACCATTGTTCTGCAAAAGTAAAACTTTTAAAACTTGAGATCTCGTATGTGATTCTTTATTTGATCAGACCTTTATTTGATCTTTATTTGAATTTTCTTTTGTGTGTTAGGAAACTGGGGTATGAACTAACAGCATTTTTTCTAACAGAAAAAGTTTCCTGACAGACTATTATTTAGGCAATACATAAATTGTTATATCTCGCCCATGGAGTTATTTGTTGTTTATTATTTTAATTGATGTTAAACTGTTATCAATTTGGTTGGAACAGAACGAAGATTCAACTTCAACATCAAGTCATGTTCTTTTTACCTCGCAGGTCTGAATAGGCCCGGTTTTAAGTTCAATTAAGTATGATTTTGTTTTAAAAAATATAGTTTATTTAAACATAATTTGTGTTAATATGCTATTTTATGTGTTGATTTTGAGACGATAATAGACAGTAAATTATCAGATTAGAGCCGCACATTGAGACCTATTTTGAGAGGCGGAGCTCTTTGGTCGCTGCCTCATTCGCCGAAGCGCGTTCGTAAAGAAAGGAACGCGTGAGCGGCGGCGGCGGCGGCTGTGACTTCCTCGCTCCGCTGCATTAACACCGTCCACATTCATATTGTGTGGAGGAAAGCCGCAGTACGGTGTTGCCTTCTCCGCGCTCAACTTTACAATCATTAAACGCTCTCCTGGTCGGGGAGATACTACACCCAGAGCCACAAGCCACCCTCTTGGAGGTCTGTGAGTGAACCCAGTCTGCGCAAACATGTCGGGCTCAGCGGCAAAAGTGAGTAAAAAGGAGCTCAACTCTAACCATGACGGAGTGGACGACACCTCCGGGAACGGGAGAGGGGGGGGGGGGTAATGGCGGCCTCCTGTTCACCGCCATTTTCACTTTCTTCTCTCGCATCATTTAAAACACCATAGTTGTTCAACTTGTATTGTTTGTAGTAGAATCTAGGGAGACGCTACTAGATTAGGTTTTTAGTAGAGCCGAGCTACCGCCCCCATTACTGCTGTTATCAGCGGCTAGCTGTCTTGGCCTGTCCCGCTGTTGTTCATTCACACTGGCTATGTTAGCGCGTTAGCTTTTCTTAGCAGCACCAGCGTGGTCACTGATGTCGTTGGCTGATCCTTGATGCTTGAGCCTCATTGTTCTGTTCGCTGTTACAAAGAACAACTTTTCCGCCCTCATTTACACTGAAACTCAACTTCAATGTTTACTCGGTTGGGTATAACAAGACGCGAGAAGTTGATTTATTTGTGAACTAGCAAATGGAGTGTTGTTGTACTGTTACCCAACCCTAGCCACTTAGCTTCATCACGACGTTGTGTTTTTATTTGTGGCTGAAATACTTTTAGATCCAGTAGCTGTATTCAATCCGACTTAAATGTTACATTAATAGATGGAAATGCACGCAGCAACAGAAGCGCGTAGGACGGTTAAACTCTGGCCTGTGTCGGACATACATGAGTATCGCACACTGTCGCCGCTCTTTCCATAGGTGTGTGTCCCACATTTAAACCACGCGGCCTTGTCGGCTCATACCGGCAGGAAACTGCGACTGTCTGAGTAACTGCACAGCCGCAGCCATTGGCCGTTTACGTCGCGTTGAAACTCAATGTAATCTGTCATATCAGAGCTTCAAGTCGTATAAACAGTACTGAACGCTAAGCCTTGTATGAATAGACTTAAGAAACGTGGGTTCCATTTTAACTTTTCCATACTCATATTTTCAGTCTTTACCATGTGTAATGCTTCAGCAACTTTTTTTAAACATGTATGTATATTTTGCTTTGTTTTTATTTTGTCCAACAGAGAAAGACCAGCAAGAAGCTATTGAACACATTGATGAGGTTCAAAATGAAATAGACAGGTAATTTCTATTTTACTCACAGCAGTATTAAAGATAAAAAAAAGCAATCAACACATTATTAAATTTGCTTAAACATGTCTGCTTCATAAACCTGGGAAGGTCAAGAAAATTCTGAGAAAGTTCTGAACAAAAACTTGGCTCACATTTATTAAAATTATGTCAACAAATAAAGGTTGTATGTTTGTGGTGAGATCCATAGTTTATCATATAGAGGAACAAAGTAGGAGACTTAATATTCCTAGATATGATTAAATTATCTTATTTTTTCATAAACTCTTTGAGTTTTCATTTTGGAGTAATGTTTGTTTGAAATGTTTTTCATCTAGGTTGAATGAACAGGCCAGTGAGGAAATCCTCAAAGTAGAACAGAAGTACAACAAACTCCGTCAGCCGTTCTTTCAGAAGAGATCAGAATTGATCGCCAGAATTCCAAACTTCTGGGTCACTACATTTGTCAATCATCCACAAGGTAGGGAGCTCTGCTTAAGATTTTTGTTTTTAATCTGTAGGAACAAAACATTCTTCAAATCACATGCAAAGGTTAACGGGACAATTGTCAGGTATTCAATGTCTGGTTTATAAAACATTATTCTGCAGTATCTGCTCTATTGGGGGAGGAAGACGAAGAAGCACTTCATTACCTGAGCCGAGTGGAAGTCACAGAGTTTGAAGACATCAAGTCAGGCTACAGAATAGATTTTGTAAGTGGTTTTGCATCTTCATTATTGATGAACATTTTAAATTTGTGTAGACTTAGCCAGGGGTGTTTATTCTGTGTTTCAGTATTTTGATGAAAATCCATACTTTGAAAACAAAGTTCTTTCCAAAGAGTTTCATCTGAATGAGAGTGGAGATCCTTCTTCAAAGTCGACAGAAATCAAATGGAAGTCAGGAAAGGTGAGTTTCATTTTATCAAAACATTGCAGTTAAGTTTGAAAAACTTCAGCTCTACCCTATTCTTTTGTTTAATTTACTAAATGGTAGCCCTGAGTCAGGTAGCCCCACCTCCTCCATGAGTAACAGCATCCCATTTGTCTGTTGAATTTGTTGCAGGAAAATTTCTATAATAAAATGGACAGCATTCTAATTTTCTTTCATTCTTTCCTCATTTTTAGGACTTGACCAAACGCTCAGGTCAGTCGCAGAACAAAGCAGGGAGGAAGAGGCAACATGAGGAGCCTGAGAGCTTCTTCACCTGGTTCACTGATCATGCTGATGCTGGTGCGGACGAGCTTGGTGAGGTCATCAAGGATGACATCTGGCCGAACCCTCTGCAGTACTACCTGGTATGTTTTAGGTTAATTCATATGAACTACTCATGTTTTACCTCAGTGATAATTGCAGGAACACAGGATGTAAAAGAAAGCACACCAGGTATTAGATCAGACTAAAACATCAGTGTAAACACTATTATAAACATTTGTAAACATGGAATAAATTGCGGTATTTTCCGCACTATAAGGCACACCTAAAAGCCTTTAATTTTCTCAAAAATCGACAGTGCGCCTTACAACCCGGTGCACTTTATGTATTACTTTTGGTTGCGCATAGCTGAGCTTGAACTAATTTTGTAAAGCCAAACCACACAGCGCATCACACATGATGGCACGCAAATGAACCACACTGGGAGCCAACAATGATGTTTAACTGTTAAACTTTAACTCTGTTACCATAATTAGAAGATACTCAACAACAATTATTACAGTATGGTTGTGTAACCCAAATCCGTGCAACGTTGCGACGTGCCTCCCGAAACCCGGAGACTCTGCGTTGTGTTTTTGTATTGTCGATGTGTGGTGCGATGCAGAAAGTCGACCCGGACGCATGGCTGATTTTTTTTTTTTTTTTTTTTTTTTTTTTGGTCAAAAATTTTTTTTCTTTTTTTTTTCTTACAGACAAACCTCTCTCTGTAAAACAACATCCGCACTTCCGCACGGAACAGCGTCAAAACAACAATACGGTGACCATCCAGAAAAAAATAGACAACTGCCTGACTCTGGAGGGGCGAACAACAACAACGTCCTCCAGTCTCCAACATAGGTCACTACCCTTTTCCACAATTCTCCGTCCCCATTGATCCATGCGCACCCATTTCACCGATATTGTCAAAGCCCAAGTGAAGCAAACTAATTTGGGGCTTGCCATCATTCCGGGTGGATTAACCACAGAATTCCAACTGCTAAATATTGGCGTTAACAGGGCGTTCAAAGTTAAATTGCGTGGGAGCATTGGATGACAGAAGGCGAACACACATTCACCAAGACAGGGAGGCAACGCCGGGAGAGTTACGCCATTATCTGCCAATGAATTGTGGATGCCTGGGTTAAGGTATCAGTCTGAAATGACGTCCGAGCTTTCACGAAGGCCGGAATCATCACTGAACAACTAATTAACAGCAACAAGACTGATAATGACGAGAGTGATACGGACAAGCTTGATTGTTCCGCTTAATTGTTTCGTTGACTGTTTTGTTTTGCTTAATGTGCTTTATAACCCGGTGCGCCTTATGTATGAAAATATTCCCGTTCATTGATAAGTGTGCCTTATGGTCCGAAAAATACGGTATCTTATATCACATCTTGTTCTGTGAGAACAAACTGCTCTGCAGTCTAACAATCCCTTTAGTAAAAGCATATCCTTATTGGATGATTGTGTGTTCAGTTGTTGATTGTCCTTTGTTTACTTAATTGAAAGTGCTCGAACATACAGGTTTCGGGGCATTGTCACTGTAAGAAGTTTTTTTTTCCCAAAGAGTTGGAAATTATCAATGAAATAAAGTTGGGTCAATTCACCTGCAGGTTCCAGATATGGATGATGAGGGTGAAGGTGAGGATGAGGATGAAGAGGAAGATGAGGAGGGCCTGGAGGATATCGATGAAGAAGCAGATGATGGAGAGGAGGATGAAGATGATGGAGAGGTAAGTTGACAGACACCAATAGCAGTAGTTTTGAAATTGTTGAGTTTTGTGAAGCACACATTTTTCTATACAAAAAAAACCTGAAATATACGTTGCCTTCCTGTCAGCGATACCAATTGGTATAAAATTTTATTTGATGACTTTTAGGGCGTACACTTGAAGTTGTGCAATCTAGTTGTTAGGATAGTACATGTCCTTAAAGAGTTCAGTTTCAAATACATGTGGTGTCTGACCCACAATTTAAAAACAATTGTTTTGAAATGTATTGCTGTTGCTGTTGTTGGTCTTTTGAATGCTCCCTAATCTTCTGTTTCATCTTGCAGGACGACGATGGTGACGACGACTAACAAAATGACATCCACCTACCACAGACGCTCAAACCTTTTTTTTTTTTTTTTTTTTTTTTTCTCCCCGTTTAGTTTTCCACTCATGTTTGGGAGCAATGTTTTTTTTTTGTTTGTTTGTTTTTTTTTAAATATATATTTTTTGTTGTAAACCATGTGTGTGCTTCAACTACATTCTGAAGCCTTTTCACCTATTGGTGCCATAATCTGTTCTTGATTCAGCCAGTGGCACTTCGCCCTGAATTGAGAGTAACATCCCTGAAAAGTAATCAAAAAGAAAAGCTACTAAGTATTATCATAGGAAGGAAACCTGAGTAGAATTAAAAGATAATTTACACAGAATTCCTTGGTTGTGTGGTTAAGTTGGCTTAAGCCATGGTGTAGTGACCTAGTGCTAGCAGACCTCAATATTTTCTCATATTTTTATTTTTAGTTGGGCCTTTGTACCTTTGAAGAAGAAAATGTTATTTTGTTCCCCGTTGTGGTTAACAAGTACTCGCTCTTTCCTTTGACTTGTAATGTTCTAGGGGCAGGGTCAGATGTGGATGGGGTGGGCATGCGTCAGTTTTTGGGGAGAGTTATTTTGACATTTCTATGGGACTTTTTTTTCTTTTCATTGTATTGTTTTACAGATATCCATAAAAAATTGAAATGACATTTTTAATAAAGGATAAAATGGAAAAAAGCTTGCACATTTTGACACTTACTGCTTTATGGTTAGAAAATAAGAGTAGGTTTTCATAAATGTGAGGTGTACATCTAAATCTTTACACTAAAGTCAGTGGGTATACTTTTATTTTTTGGTATAGAGGCACTTAGATTTTAGTCTGCATTTTGTCAGCTATTGAACGACTTAGGAGTTATTAGCAGACTTGAGGCAAAGTCTTCTTGAAACAGTCATTGGGTGGTTAAAGCCAGGCGGGTTTGCTCTGATTCTTCAAAAGTGATTTTTGTGACCGTGTCTGGCCAGAGACTTGGCTGGAAGGCCCAACCTGAGAAGAGAATGATAAATGTTCAAAAATGTTCTGCGTTGTGTGTAATGAAAGCTGTTGTGCTGCTGTCACCAATGCTTTATTGATCTGACGGAATTCACATAGAACAAAATTAATTTCCCCCTGGACACCACCCGAGCCCCTCTTCCACAAAGTCTGAAGAAAGAGAGCGCTAACTGTACAACATGGAGACGTACACATTGCGATCCTTGTTTTTCTTTCTCAATTGTTAACTGTTCAAAGTAGTGATGGGAAGACCGACTCTTTTTATTGATTCGAATCTTTGACTCTCTAACAGTAGAATCAACGAGTCGTGAACGAATCTTGAACTAATCATTTCATTCGGTTTACAGCAGGTGGCGCTTTAGCCCTATTATGGGCGTTGTAAAGAAGGCTGCGGTTCTCCGACACTAAATACTGAAGGCAACATGGTTTGCTTCCGCTGACAAAGTCTACAAAGTACACAAAATGCCGTAAGCAATTAAAACCATGCGAAAAGCTAAGAAATAAAAACACACCACAATGTGAAGATGAATGAGAGCAAAAGAGACCCGAGCTCTCTGAAAGACTAGTTCACAGAGAGTGATTCGTTCATAGTGAAAGATTAGTCCACAGCGAAAGATTGGTTCACAAAGAATGATTCGTTCACGGCGAAAGATTAGTTCACAGAGAGTGATTCGTTTGCAATGAAAGATTCGTTCACAGCGAAAGATTAGTTCACAGAGAGTGATTCGTTTGCAATGAAAGATTCGTTCACAGCGAAAGATTAGTTCACAGAGAGTGATTCGTTTGTAATGAAAGATTAGTTTGCAGAGTAATTAGTTCGTAGTGAAAGATTAGTTCACAGTGAAAGATTAGTTGGCAGAGAGTAATTCGTTCGTAGTGAAAGATTAGTTTACAGTGAAAGATTAGTTCGCAGAGAGTGATTTGTTCGCAGTGAGTGATTAGTTCGCAGAGTGTGATTTGTGAGTGATTCGTGAGTTCAATATGAACAAATATTTTATGACTCGGGAGTCACGAATCTTTTATATGACTCGGGAGTCACGAGTCATATGAAAGATTCGTTCATTTTGAACGAATCACTCGCGAACGACACAACACTTGTTCAAAGTCTTCGGGTAATTCGCTGTCGCCTCGGTGGGTCCAAGATGAGTTCTACAGCGGGAACATGTGGCCATAATCCTGGAGAATCCCGGGAACCAGGAAAAGGGTTTATCTGCAGGCCAATGTTTGCCTTTCTGAACGCGATCACCTCGAACTTATGTCCATGTGGGTTCTGGAATAGTTGGACATGGACCTTGCGGCCTCCTGGTAGAGTGTCGTTGCGTCTGGACAGCGCCAACCGGCTGTGAATGGGGTGGATATCTGCGCCCACCGCTAGCTCATGGCCGCAGGACCTGCAAAGAATAAGTGTATCGCTGCTGGTTACTTCTTCGGCTTCTGCAGCGCAGCCGGCGGCAGGTTGAAGAGCAGTGGAACACAGCAGAAGCGGAATAAAGACCCAGAAGAGCTGCTTTAAAAAGAAAAGAGATTGCTGCAGTGGCAGCTCTTTTCCCCACTGCTTCGCCATCATTATTATCTTCACATGGACAAACAGCGCTAATGCTGTGTTAAGGAAGCTAAACCCCTATTTTTAATGGATTTCTAACAATGAATCGGCAAGTGCAGTTTCTTTCACCACATACCAATAGTCAGGCAGTCAAATTTCCCATCTCCGTTGATTTATAACACTTGTGACAACTTTATGGTTAACAGCTGCTAGATTAGCTCGCGTTAACGCCCGGTTCTGGGAACGCGGTCAAAGAAAAAGCGGAAGACCTCTATGTTTACTGTTTTACGAAAAGTTCAGCCGGAAACTAATTGTTGGAAGAATTGCATTTATTGTCATTGCTTCATGCTGTACTGTTGCTTTAACAAACTGCTTGCTTCCCATCTTTTCCTTGTCACACCCCCATTCACACCCATTTTCACATCTATACTCCATATACTCACACTAAATCAAATGGTATGTAATCTGATACTTTTGTAAACTAAATGAAAGAGCAGAGGAAGGGTGCAGCAACTCTGAGTTGATGAGGAAGCTGCCAGAAGAGCAAGCTGCATTCTCCCCTTGCAAGAAAAAGATCCAGACATCTTTGTGTTGTTACTTTGTCGTCATATATGTTAGAATAAACCTAACCTCGGTCCTTCGAGCCGGATGGCAACAAATTAAGCAGAACCTAAGGATCGGGTGGAGAACGACTGAAAACCGTGCACGGCCAGAACCAGGTTCTGGGGAAAGACCTGGGGAGTGAATTCTCACTCAGGCCAGTACTCCGACACCTGATCCTAGGCTGCTGATTGACGGCATCTGATACCAGAATAAGATCGACGACGAGGGTGAGAAACAAGATTTTTATTATCAGCGCGTGGTTGAAAAATGCGTTGGAGTCCCTGGGAAGTAATCCCTAAATGCTGATAAATGGGTTGCAAATCCTTGGCCAGTAATCCCTAGAACTAAGTGGGTTG